CCCTGCCCCCTCCCCCAGAGCCCTCAGGAAGGTTCCATGAAACCCCACACCCCCGCCTGGCCCTTAAGCGGTGAGGACTCAAACAAGGTTCGCTCCCTCATCCCGCCCTCTCCAGGGCCTGCCTACCCATTTCTTTTCTCAAGTGGCCTTGGGAAGGGTCTTGCCAGGATAGACAGATGGGCTGGGGACAGATGGATCGCGGGCGCGTAGGAGTTACGACTGGGAGTGAGTGGGGGCATGGAGGAGAGAGGAGTGTGGCCTCCAAGACTGGTCCCCCAAAGAAGCCTTCAGGCTCGGGAGGGGGGCTCTCAGAGGCTCCGGGAGAAAGAACTGCTCCGGTCAAACCTCCCAGCCGTGGTGCGGTCTCTCAGGTGCAAGGCAAAGGCTCAAGGGTATCACTAACTAAGAGTCACACAGCCCGGCGATGACTGCGAGACCTGGTTTTAGGGTGCAGGTGACGTTGGTGGTACAGGAGCTGGAGTGCCTTGGCTTGGGCTCCTGGGGACCCTGCCACGGGCTCACACCACGCCCGCGCGGGCGACCCAGTTCTCAGGGAAGTGCAGTGTCGCCAGCCCGGGCTGTGGTCAGAGCGCGCCCCCTGCCGAGCACAGTCGGAACCCAAGCCTGGTTAGGGTTCCCAGGGCCGGGACCCAGGCCGAACCTGCATCCTGGAGGGCTGCTCTTTCCCAGGACAGAGCTCCCAGCTCTGGATAGAGCCCTAGACCTCCCGCTGACTCGACTCTAGGCTAAACCTTAGTCTTGTAGTGCCCGGGGTCTGCTGAATCCCCTCTCCAGATAGAGCCCCCAACTCAAGGCTGAACCCCAATTTCCGCTGAGCCGACACTGAGCTGAGCCCCCAACTTGGGTAGCCCTATGGTCCTGCTCTGAACCCCCACACGGAGCTGAGCCCCGACCCTGGGTTGAGCCTCTGTCCCAGGGGAGTCTCCATCTGGCTGGTTCCCCACCCCAAAAGAGCTCCCAATTCAGAGCTGAGCCTCTATTCAGGCTGAGGTCTGACTCTGGATAGAGCCTATGACCTCTAGCTGAACTCTGACCCTGGGCTGTACCTACACAGTCTCAACTCTGGTTGAGCCCCAATCTGGGTTAGAGGTCCAGTCCCCAGCTGGGTCTGCAACCTCATCTGAGTGTCCCCACCCGAATGGCCAACAGCCTTGCCTAAGCCATGGTGATCTGTTCTCCACAGTCTACACACCCAGCTGAACCCCCAAGTCTCTTGCCCCAACTTTCTTATCTGTACATGGAAAAAAGGCCCCACTTCACTAGACTCAGTCCCTTCATCCCTCCATTGCCCAGCTGGGGAGACTTCTCCCAGGATTCTGGGGCCACCCAGAGGGGCTGTACACATTCCACATAATCAGATCTAATCAGGTCCCAGGCCCAGCCCCACTGCATCCTGGCTGCATTGTCTGGAGCAGATCTCTTGCTCTTTGTGGGCTATAATAACATCATCTGAGAAATGGGATGCTCACCCTGGCATAAGGTCTCTGTGAAGATTGGCTGAGGTGAGTTCATGGATACAATGTGCTAAAGAAGCAGCACATATTAGGTATTCAATAAATACTGACTGTTATCTTGTTATCCTGTGCTGCTGGGCACTTTTTAAAAAACTGCTTTGTTGAGATATAGTTCACATACCAGTCATGCTTTAAAGTGTACAAATCAGTGGTTTCCAGCATATTGCATTATTTTAAAAAAACTTTCTTAATCCTGTAACCCCAACATTTTGGGAGGCCAATGTGGGAGGCTCAGAGTTTGAGACCAGCCTGAGCAACACATGAGGGTCAGACAATTAAGTTTGCAAACTCATCCTAGAAAAAGTGCTGTATACCTCATTGCTGAATAGCTATACTCCCCTAGTCATCTGGTGACCTTAGTGATATTCAGCAATGAGGTATGTAGTACTTTTCCTAGGATGAGTTTGTGAACTTAATTGTCAGATTTCAGAGCGAGACTCTCATCTCTAAAGATTATTTATTTATTTACTGTGGGCACTTTTTTGCCCGTAGTAGAGTGCTGTGGCATCATAGTTCACAGCAACCTCAAACTCTTGGGCTCAAGTGATCCTCTTGCCTCAGTTTTTCATTTTTAGTAGAAATGGGGTCTCACTTTTGCTCAGGCTGGTCTTGAACTCCTGAGCTCAAGTGATCTGCCAACCTCAGCCTCCCAGAGTGCTAAGATTACAGGCATGAGCCACTGCACCCAGCCCTAAAGATAATTTAAAAATGAGCCAAGCAGGGCCAGGTGCAGTGGCTCACACCTGTAATCCTAGCACTCCATGGGGCTGACACTGGTTGATTGCCTGAGCTCAGAAGTTCAGGACCAGCCTGATCAAGAGCAAGATTTTGTCTCTAAAAATAGCTGGGCATTGTGGTGGGCGCCTGTGTGCCAGTACTTGGGAGGCTGAGGTAAGAGGATCACTTGAGACCAAGAGTTTGAGCTGTGACACCATAGCACTCTACCAAGGGTGACAAAGTGAAACTCTATCTCAAACAAAAAAAATTAGCCAAGCATGGTGGACTGTACTTGTAGTTCCAGCTACTTTGGAGTCTGAGGCAAGAGGATTACTTGAGCCCAGGAGTTCAAGGTTAAAATAAGCTTCAATGACACTACTGCATTTCAGCATGAGTGAGAGTGAGACCCTGTCTCAAAAATAAAATATTTACCATTTTATACATTTTAAAGTGCATAGTTCAGTGGTAATAAGTACCTTTACACAGCTGTGAGCCATTACCACCATCCATCTCCAAAAGTTTCTGAGATATATAGTAACTCCACATTAGCCTTAGCCACTCCCCATGAATTGATTCCCTGTCTCTGTGGACTTGTGGTGGACATTTTACATAAATGGAATCACACACTATGTGTCCTCCTATGTCCGCTTCTCTTACTCAGCACGATGTCCTCAAAGTCCATCCACGTTATAGCCTGTGTCAGAGCCTCTTCCTTGTCATGGCTGAGTGATATTCCAGTGTGGGGATGCACCATCTTGTGTTTATACATCATCTGTCAATGGGCACTTCAGTTGTTCCAACCATTTGGTTAATGTAAATAATGTTATTATAAACATGGGTGTACAAATATCTCTTATAGTCTCTGCTTTCCATTCATTTGGGTAAGTAGGTAAGAGTGGAATTGCTAGGCCCTATAATAATTCTATGTTTAGCCTGAGGAACTGCAAAAAAAGTCATTTTCCAAAGAAAAAAAAGTAGTTTTAAATTCCCACCAGCAGTATACAAGTGCTCTGATTTCTCCACATCATTATAGGCACTTTTTATTTGTTGTCATATTTGTGGACCAGTAGGGTTAATTATCCTATTTGGAAATAGATAGATTTGGATAGATTTGGAAAACTGAGGCTTGGAAATGCATGGAAGCAGATTTGACAAAGCTGGGTCTGAACCCACCTTGGTCACACTCCATGCCTCCTAGGCCTACCCCAGACCGCTAAAACAATTTGCTTTGCTGTGATGAATGCTAAAAATGGCTTCTCTGCCTCTGAGACCCCTGTCAGCTACCCTGATCCAAAGAAAGGTCTCCATAGTTTGAGGACCCAGGAGCACAAAGCCATTGATCTAGAATAGTTGTTCTCATCCACTTGGCAGTGACTACAGACATTGGTGGTTGCTCCTGGTATGGAGTGAATGGAAGCTAGAGGTACTGTTCAGCACCCTTTGGTGCCCAGGACAGCCTTCAACAAGCAGGAATTATCAGTCCCAACTGTTGAGAATGAGAGATCTTGGAGTAGATCTTGGTTGTGGGTTGGAGGAAGTGGGAGAGGCTGAGTGGGTTCTGGAAATTGCTTTCCCAGTCCTAGGTCTGAATCTTGGCTCTGACACTTGTGTGTGTGTGACATCAGGCAAGTTACTCTCCGTCTCTGGGCCTGTTTCCTCCTCCAAAGTGAAATAGAGACATTTATTTTTGCCTCATGAGGCCTGTGCCAGAGTCTGCCTGGATCCTCCTGGGCAGGTCAGGACTCAATACATGACACTCAACAAACATTTGTTGCCTGGCTTCCTGGAGGAGGAAAACTGGTTGCTGCAACTACCGTTGGCCTCAGCTGCAGCTAGGACCCAGAGTTGGGGATGCAAAGAGGAAGTATTGCTGCAGGGGGGCTGGGAGCTGATCCAGGGCCCCATTCCCAGGACTCACAGCTGCATCCTCCTGGAGGGCTCCAGCTGGCCTTGCTGTCCCAACCCCTGGGATGGAGCCAGGATGCTCCCATGTATCCCACTGGCTTATTCCCATGGACATCAAGGCTGGATCTAGTAGTCCATTGGTGGGTCTCCTGGGCCCATCCACCTACAGATTGCTGCCTCAAACCTCACCCCAAAGATTCATGTATAACCAGACAACCCTGGGTTAGATTCAGCTTTCCTGGGGGACAGAAATCTGCATTTTTTTTAAAGGTTCCTAGGTTATTCTGATGTGTAAGGTTCCTTGACCATACTTCGAGATAAACTTCTGCCCAAATTCCTATTACCAAGATAGGGAAACTGAGTCGCAGAAGAACGAAAGAGTCCATCCAGAGCCACGTGGTTGGCCAGTTTTGCCTTGTAGCGCCTCTAGTCTCTTTCTGTCAGTGTCTTTGTGTTCCCAGCCCTTCACAGTCTCTTAACTTCCTCCTCTTTACTTCGCTGGCGCCCCGCAACCGGCCGCGCCCCCGCATCCGGGCCCCTTTCCGAATTCATTGGAATCTCCGGGGCCGCATAGCCCCGCCCCCAGCCCCGCCCGCTCCCCGACACTTTGCTATGATCTTCTTCCATTGGTCTCTTCGTACATAGCCTGCACTGCCATTGGATGATTTAAGGCACTCGGCCCACCTACCCTTCCCGGCCCCGCCTTTGGTTCCTATGGCGTGGGCGGGGACGGAGTGGAGGCGGGGCCTGAGGCTAGCATGGGCGGGGCGATGGGAGGGCGGGGCCGAGGGCCCACTCCGTCCCGCCCCCGGCCTCCGGCTCTAGTCGGACAGCCGAGACCACATCCCCGGCCACAGCCCCAGCCCCACTAAGGAGATAGGACGGATCCCCGACGATCGGACTCACGGACGGGTCCCTGACAGTAGGTGAGAGACTGGTGCCGGGGCGCCCCCCACCTCAGCGCGTCCCAGAGTCCACCTGGCTGCCCTCATCTCTCCCTCCTCATATTCTGGAACTCCTGTTCCCCTCTGTCTTCATCGCTGCCTCAGTTTCCCTCTGTCTCTCTCTTCCTGTACAAATTAGGGGAACACAGACTGGGTCTGACTTGCCCCCACTGGCATGGGACCCTGCTCTGGGACTAGCACCTACCCCTCATATAGACTCTAATGGACTCTGCCCCAGGGGGGGCAAGGGCTTGGAATTTTGGGAGGGCAATTCCAGGTAGTGGGGATCCTGGCCACAGGTGTGGAGGTGGGAATATGTGCGGCTTCTGTTTAGTCCAGGAAGCGGGGAAAGGAAGGCCAGGTCCACCCAGACTAGCCACCAGTGTGCTCCCAAGTGGCCTGACGCCTTGGCCTCAGTTTTGCCTGCTGTGAACTGGGGCCATGGCCATGGAGGTAATTGGCAGATGATCTAACCCAGATCTGTTGCCTCCTTGCTTTTTTTCTGGAGTCTAACTGGACCCATTTCCTAGGAAGGTAAACTGAAACCCAGAAATGAGGTAGTGCTTGGCCAGAGAGGTGAGGAATGAGGCAGGACCAAATCTGCTCTCACTTTGGATCTGGATATTGCTCAGCACCCTCTCTATGGTGTCTTGGGGGTCCTAGAATAGTCAGGCAGGTACAGATCCAAGCCGCTCAGCACACTGTTTATGGTGTCTGTAGGGGGCCTAGAGGAAGGGCAGCCCATCTGTACACAGGCCTTCTGAAGTCACTTCCTGATCATGTTCTAGTGGTGAATGCCCCAGGAGGCTGTAGCCAGTTGAAGACAAGCAGCCCAGGTGTTGGGGAGCTCAGACAGACTTGGTCTTGAGCTAAAACTGCTGTGGTACCTTGAACAAGCAATTTAACATTTCTGAGCCTCAATTTCCTCATCTATAAAATGAGAAGGAATATAATTCCTTGGGTTGAGGGCTGGGGGATTAAATGTAGGAATGTGAACATCGTGTTATTACCTCCCCCCAACTATGCCCAGCCATAGGAGTCTCCTATTCCTCCAATTCCAGGCACAGTCCTGCCTCAGGGCATTTGCACAGACTGTGCCCTCTGCCACCACAGCAGGTCCAGGCGCCAACTTTAAAACATAACAAGCTGCCTAGATGGGCTGGGCCAAGGACCTGCACAGGCAAGGGCCAAGCAGCTGGGAGGGACGGAGGAGGGGCTGGCCCAGGGCCGCTGTACCTATGGAAACGGTGAACAAAGAACTTTCCCCAGCCACACAAACACCTGGGTTGGGCTTCTCCCACTTGGCTGCCCAGGTGGATCAGGTACTGGTCAGAGGCTGGGGTGGCCTGGGATGCTAGAGGTGGGTGAGTGCCTGGACCCCTGGAGGACATGAAAGGATATTGAACCCTGCTCTGGGGGGTGAGGGGGCCAGAGAGGCTGTAAGCGAATAGACTAGTCAGGCAAGTACAGATTGGAGAGTCTTGTCCTGTGGTATCCCCTTCCCACTATGTGGCCTTAGGCTTGTCAGGTGCCTCCTAAGCCCCATTGCCCTCATCTTACTTTCCCCAGGAGTCAGCCAGTGTGGGCGAGGAGCATTTTGATTGCTTGACCATTGATGTAGTGGGTTCAGGAGGCCTCCATGTTCCTGTCTGGGGATGAGAGAGGGTGCCTTGAGGATAGGACTCCAACCATTGTCAAGGAAATGGCCCCACCCAGAGAGAGGTATATGCTAAATGATGACTCATGATTGCCCAGGCATAGCCTCAGGTGGTGCAGACTGGCAGGTGGAGTCTGGCAGAAAGGTAAGATGGGCCCAATTATATAGTATGTCCACCCCTCTCCAGCATCTCCCTGACAGACACCCCTCCTGGAATCCCACCCACATGAGTTTTCACCAAGACACCTCTGGCAGAGTTCCAAGGGCCTTCTAATGCCCTGGCATCTAGGCCTCAGTTTTTCCATCTGTCGACTGGGACTGGTCATCTCCTTTTTCTTCAGGAAAAGGGCTGAGATAGTGGGGGGGGGGGTAAGGAGGGCACTACACTTTGAGGGGTACAGAGAGTTTTGCAGGTCTTTATTGGAGACCTCTTGAGGTCATCATGAAAGGGATTACAGGGTACATTTCTTCTAGAAGCTTCCTAGAAACTTAGACTCTTCCTTTGCATGGTGGGCTCTCAGAAAGGGGAAGAGTTGAATCCTAAATTTGAGAAAAGGCTCACCCTGGGGTGAGTACTGGGTTGGAATCCCAATTCAGCCACATCATTGCTCTATAAACTTAGGGAAACTCCTGGTTCCCTCTGACTCAGTTTCCCCTTCTGTAATAACTGAAAACTTGCAGGTCCATCAAGAGAATTTGGCAATGAGGGCCTGGAGGTAAAATGCCTAGTAGGTAGTGAGCATTCCCTGCAAGATCACTGTAAAACAAGTCACTTGTGTTTGAGGTTGGAGACTATCCAAATCCCCCTCTGCCCAGGCAGAGCCAGTGCGGAAGAGTCAATGCTGCATTACTTATTGTGTGACCTTGGTGTATCTCTGTCTTTCAGCCTCAGTTTCTCTGGCTGGACAATGGGGCCCTTGGATGAGATCTCTGACATTGTGCCTTTCTGGTGCGAGGAGGTCATTTATTCATTCAACAAATGTGTTCTGAGCACCTATTGTGAGCTAAGCCTGGTTCAGGGCAGCAAGGACCCAGCAATGATGAAAGCTGATCTGGTGTCCACCTTTATTTGGTTCACAGACTAGGGTTTGGGGAGGTGGACATTGTTCATCTAGAAAAATCCTTATGCTTTGCTTTAATTGCATGAAGGTGATGGAGGGACAGATGGATGAGGGGGTTAGTTTAGATGGGGGATCTGGGTGGACCTCTTAAGGAGGTGGCATATGAGCCCAGGATTGGATGACAAGAAAAAAACAATCACATGGGGGTAGCGCCTGTGGCTCAAGGAGTAGGGCCCCTGCCCGATATACCTGAGGTGGTGGGTTCAAACCTGGCCCTGGTCAAAAACTGCAAAAAAAGAAAGAAACAACCACATGGAGACCTGGGGGAAGAGCATCCTAGAAGAAGGAACAGCCCATGCAAAGGCCCTGGGACAGGACATTGCCTGGCATGTTGGAGGTACAGCAAGGAGGCCTGAATGCCTGGGGAAGAGTTAGGAGGAGAAGAGAGGAAGGAGGGCAGGGCAGGGAGGGGACAGGCTAGTGTCCCCTCCTTGTAGGGCCTTGTCAACCCCAGGTGGAAATTGGGCTTTGGAGGGCTACAGGCAGCTACAGTCAGGGAGGGACCCTGACTCAGATGCTCACAGGCACCCTCTGGATTTTGTGGGGAGAATAGACTAGGGTGGGTGAGGCAGGAGCCAGGAGACCAGGATGGAGGCCGTGGAAAGGTGAGAAATGGGTGGCATCAGGACATATTTAGGTGCTGCATCTACATTCCTGCCAGTACTGCTCCACTTTGTGCTTGCTGTTAAAAAACTTTTTTTTTAGGCAGGGCTCAGTGTCTCACACCTGTAATTCTAGCACTCTGGGAGGCTGTGGAGAGTGGATTGCCTGAGTGCAGGAGTTCAGGACCAGCCTGAGCCAGAGTGAGACCTCATCTCTAAAAATAGCCGGGTGTTGTGATGAGTCCTCTAGTCCCAGCTACTTGGGAGGCTGAGTCAAGAGAATTGCTTGAGCCCAAGAGTTTGAGGTTGCTGTGAGCTATGACGCCACAGCACTCTAGCCAGGGTGACAAAGTGAGTCTCTGTCTCAAAACAAAGCAAAACTTTTTCTCAGGCCAAGAGCTGTGTCTAAATTGGCCTCTGCAGAATGGAGGACTGTGGGCTCTCAACATTAATTTTTGGCCCCTAAGCCCTCTCTTCAGTAGGAATCTGACACAGTTGAAAATATCCTCGCTTCCAGGGCAACCTAGCCAGTGGCCAGACCTTACCCATCTTTAGGGCACTCCCTGAGGGCTCTGGGGAACCTAGTTTGAGAATCACTGCTATCACTACACCTTGGGCTTAACAGATTTCCCCCTGTCTTTTGCCACAAGTAAAATGGTCATTGACTTTTTTGAGGCCTGTGTCATGGAGTATAAAGGGCTTGATGCAGTGGAAACCCTGAAGTTGGTGGTGGACGTTGTATTGGAATGAGGACTGGGGAGGACATTGGCCATGGTGGGTGGAGGCCTGAGGCCACCCTGGGTGGCTGTAGCTGAGGCTGGAACTTGGGAAATAGAGCGGCCAGTGTGGCCCTGTCAAGGGGACCCATCAATTATTGACACCCTTTGTGTGAGGCATGAAGAATTAATGTGATGGGGGTGGGGCCACCTTCGACCCACAGCATAGCTGGAGCCAGCTCACGAGAGCCTCTTGCTGTGTTTTCAGAAATTTTGCCACCTGGTTGTTAAACACAGCCATTATTAAAAATGACAGAATAGAAAGTTACAGTTAAATAAGTTATATTTAAAATCCAGGAATGGGCCTGGAGAAGGAGTGAGGTACTGATACATACTATAACATGGATAGACCTTGAGGACATTGTGCTCATTGAGAGAAGCAGACACAGAAGAACACACAGTGTGAGACTCTACTTATATGAAATGTCCAGAACAGGCAGATCCACAGGGATGGGAAGTAGATTCATGGCTGCCAGGGCCTGGGGAGGGGCTGAGGAGTAACTGCTGATGGGGATGGGGCTTCTTTTTTTTTTTTTTTTAGACGGAGCCTCAAGCTATCCCCCTGGGTAGAGTGCTATGGCATCACAGCTCACAGCAACCTCCAACTCCTGGGCTT